AGGGAAGACGTGAGGAAATTGGCCTGATAAGGTATAAGAATTTATCTACGAAGACTTGAGCTACATTATGGAAGATTTCGGACATTAAACTGATTATTAAATAGAATGAATGGAAAGTAGGAGCTATTAACATATTTTTGAGCAGGAGCTCCTGGGTGGCTCAGTCGGTTGAGCATCCAACTTGTGATTTCAGCTCAGGTCATAATCCCAGGGCCATGGGATCAAGCCCAGTGTTGGGCTTTGTGCTGAGCGTGGAGCCTGCTTATTAAGGTTTTTTTTTTTTAAGGTTTTTTTTTTAATTAAGGTTTTTATTTAAAATTATTATTTTAAATAAAATAAAGTATTTTGAGCATGATAGTTTCTATCATGACATGAAATTCTGAAAAGCATTTTTGAATTTTGGTAATTAGGAACAAGATAATGGTAGTGAAACTGGAAGGAAGAATTCTTTTGAAACGATAGAAGGACGAAAAATCAAAGAATGTCAGAGCTTTATATGTCAGATCTGAAGCTAGTTATTTCCATATGACCTATGATTATTTTTTTTTTAGCAACCCTCCAAAATTGATTGGTATTACATTTACTTTCCCAAATGAGGAAGAAGAGATGTGATGTTACAAAAGATACTCAAAGTCACACAGTTAAGTAAGTAGAACCAGCAAGATTCAAACCCAGGCTTGTTGTCTCTGGGCCAGCTTTCAATGAGAATTGGAGAAATTGTTTGCCCACAGTGCTCTGTGACTAATCTGCCTGCTGATGGGGTTATGTGTTCAGTGTGTGCCTCTTGCAACTAAGACTTGAGGCCAAGCACTCTGTGTTGTTCACAATTATACCCCCATTACTTAGAACTGTGCAAAGCAAACAGTAGGCCTTCCGTAAATCATTTTTAACCAACAAAAACAAAGGAACAAGCACATAAACAAGTCACAGAGATGGTGGTAGAAACTAAGCCTCTCAACTCACATTTCCCTTATTTGTCACAGCTGACCACAGTCCCTTTTACTTGGTTTTCAGAACCACCACACGTGTTCAAACATCGGCCAATATACAAAATGAGTAATGGTGCTTGATGTGAGGAGTTTGTACAACCAGTGGCTACTCCACAATGCTTGCTTATAGAAAATGCTGACAAAATCTAAAAGCACGAAGAAAAACATGCTGAGAAATAACTTTTTCTTCTTATCCACTTTCTTAACTGCCACCCTTCCAAAACAATAATAGTTGAAAGAAATAAATTGGATTCGACATAATATTCCCTCCAAGGCACCATGATTTCTTCCCAAGACCTAGTAATGTATGTGTATGGCTGACTTTTGCATTTGCTTGACTCTTGATTTTATATACTCTCATGAGGATTTAACTTTCTTCCTCATTATTTGGCACTTGACTAAATAAATAGTGATCAAAGCAGAAAGATAGGTTTTTGCATGATGGTTTGGTACTCCCCCTAGAAAGAATGTTCTGGCCTTCAGTGTGTTTATTTTGCATCTAGGAGATGTTGGGACTCATTGCCTTTAATAACTTGGTCCACTGAGCAACTAGAGACCATTGTCTTTTGAGATCTGATGCATGTTTTTAACGCTATATAATATTTTTTTGCCAATGGACTACATACAAGGATTTTATAACCCCATTTACTGTGACATTGATAAATGAGCCAGTTTCTTCTCTATCCTGAAAAACTTAAGTGGAAGAAAGTTCACAGATCCTTTCTATCTTTGCATATAACATTTGTACAGACCCTTTACTGATGATAGTTTTTATTTTGTGTCTTTTATTATCTTTTTCAAATTCTTAGTACATCATTTTCTAATGGTTTAAAGGCTGACCTTGTGTTTCTGAGACTGTGTATATAATAAACATATTCTTTGACATTCAGAACTCTGCCATCTATTGCATACTATATGTTCATGTATATATGTATATTTAAAAAATAGTCAACATTTATTACAAACTTATACCTAAGTACTATAATAACAACTTTACATATATCATCTCAGATAACTCACTAATCATATGAAACAGATTTGACTGTTACCTTCTTTTTTAAAACAGTATACTTTATTTTTAGAGCAGTTTTAGGTTGATAAAAAAAAATTTGAGGGTTACCTGGGTGGCTCAGTCAGTTAAGCGTCTGGCTTTTCATATCATCAGCTCGTCATGATCTCGCTGTCCGTGGGATTGAGCCTGCTTGGGATTCTGTCTCTCTCCTCTCCTCTCTCTCTCTCTCTCTGCCACTCCCCTCTTCTCTCTCTCTCAAAATACTAAATAAACATAAAAAAAATTGAGCCAAACATGCAGAGTTCCCATATACTCCCTTACCCTCCTACCACCCTACAATTATCAAGTTGCATTAGTGTTGCACATTTGTTACTATTGACGAGCAAATACTGGTGCATTATCATTAAAGTCACAGCTTACATTCGGGTTCACTCTTCATATTATGTATTCTGTGGGTTTTGACAAATATATAATGACATGTATCCACTATTACTGTGTCTTACAGAATAGCTTCATGGCCCTAAAAATTCCCTGTGCTCCACCTATCTTCGTATAATAGAGAACATTACAGCTAAGAGATGAAATAATTTACTCAGGGTCACATGGCTACACACATGGGGGAGCTGTTCTCCCTGCCTAGAATCTATGATCTGAACTAATACATTATACTGCCTGATTCACTAGAGTTATGTGATTATTTTAAGGAATCCTAGCTTTGTAAGATTCTTGCCAAGTCTTACTTACTTCATGGAAGTATGCTGTGTGTGGGGAGCATTTTGCCTATACTTTCCTTTTTTTCCTTTGAAGTTAAAATGTCGTGAGAAATATTGCAGGGAATAAACTTTTCAATTATTAGATATTTGGTGAGAGTTGTGAGTTAAAGAGAAGTTATGACTGGAGTAGCAATGGAGATGTCAGATGTCTGTTGTCTATAGCAGAAGCTGTATGTAGGCTGCATCCTCCTGGCTAGGGCAATGGGTGAATAAAGGATGTAGCGACAGTGAATTTAAAAAATTTTTAATATTTATTTATTTCTGAGACAGAGAGAGACAGAGCA